ACCTAGATTAGTGGCCCAAAATAAATGAGTGAAAAAAATGCCACTGAAACTAACCAAAACCTGAACAATGTTAAGTGAAAACTGATCATTGAAGAGAGAAAACTGATAAAAGGAAGAGAGAAAACACAATTCAACATCAGTAATCACAGGTATCAAAGCAATAATTGAACTCAGAAAAAACAATAGCTGATTCTAGAAAAGCAGTCGTTGAATACACAGAAAGCCAATAATCAAACTCAGCAAGCCAATAAGCAAAGTAAAAAAAGAAAGAATCAAAAGCAGAAAATTAGTCATTGAAATCAGAAAACCAGTTACTAAAACCAGAAAAGTAATGAAAGAAATCAATCACTTAGCAAAATTAGCAAACTAATAATTGTCAGAAAACCAGGAACTATAATAAGATCTGAAATCAATGTCTGAAAACGATTAAAAAAAAAAGTATTTGGAGCCAAGATAACCAATAGTCAAAGAGTCAAAGCCAGCAGTGGATGTCAGAAAACCAGATATCAAAGTCAAAAAACCAAAAGTCAAAGACAGAAATCCAGTAATCAGTATCAGAAAAACAACAACTGAATGCAGAAGTCCAGTAATCAAAGCCAGTAAAGTAGTAAATGATGTCAACCAATAGCCAAAACAGAAAACCAGTATTTGAAGTATGAAAACCAGCCATCAAGGTCACAAAACTAAGTCAAAGTTAGAAAATGAATAATCTAAGGCAGAAAACTAATAGTGAAAAGAAGCAATAAATGAATAGCAGAATTGAAAAAAAAGTTTAATTACCCCAAATTTTTGAAGAAAAATTAAAAGCCGATAATCAGCACAGAGACACTAATAAGTGAAGCCCAGTAAACAAATACTGAAATTCTGTGATGAATAAACAAAAGCAGACAACTGATAAGGAACATCCACAAACCAATGAGAAGACTAAAATCTGACAATCAAAGAACGAAACCCAATACATGAAATACGTAATGCGATAACTAAAGTCACAAAACTGACAACCATGGACCAAAACACGATAAATGAGAACTGACAACTGAAAACTGAAAATCGAAGACCGAAACCTGAGAAACGAGTGGAAACGAAAAACATGCAGAGAGAAAACCAAGAAACGCCAACGTTTGGCTGTTCTTTGAAAGTGGAAATTTGCATGAAAGCATTCTGATTTTCTCAGTTCTCCATTTCCAACAAAACTTATTTTGCGTTTCCCTCAGTGTCACTATCAAATCAACTGACGGCTAATGGTACTAAATAATGAACAACTGACAGCCAATAGTGACTAACAAATAACCAATAACTGGCAGCTATTAATGACCTTATAATAACCAATTATAGACGTTATAGATTGGCTGAGCGAAGTAAAAGGCCTCACACACAACTCAATGGAATTTCTCTGTGTCTGTCTGTATCGTGATAACTTTTTGAGACCACATCTGATCAATTCGCAAATTTCACAGGACATGCCAGGCATCTGTGGGAAGGAGCCCAATGCAGAGCAACATGGGTTGCCCAGGGCTGGCTCCTGCCCATCCAGGCTCAGTGTCTGGGCACAGGGCAGGTGCAGATGGCTCCTGCTCCATACAGGTCAAAGGCAGAGGGCTGGGCTGGGTCCCTTGGGTGTACTGGAGCATCGGTCCCAGAGGGCGGAGGTATGGTTGGGTGGCCGTTTCCCTTAACTCTATTGGTCCTGTCTTGGCTGAATGCAACAGTCTGGCTGGGCATGTGCTGACCCCACGAAAAAGCCCCGATAGAACTGGTCAATTGTGAGAAATGCTGATTTATCTGGGGGGGGGGGGGGGGGGGGGGCTCTACCTGGGCAACCCCGTGCTCCACTGGTCCCGGCTCTGTGTCACCAAACCCACCACGTGCTGCCATGAGGCTCCCTGACCCTCCCGGCATCCTGAGTGTGCAGGCGCATTTCAGATCACTAGGAGAGTCAACCAGGACACAAAAATCTCTTATCCACCAGGCCAGCACTCCGCTGTAATTACTAAGGCTTTGATTCAGTTATGGGTATTTTTAGTAAAAGTCATGGACAGGTCCCGGGCAATAAACAAAAAATCCCAACCCGTGACCTGTCCGTGACCTTCACTATAAATACCCCTGACTAAATCTTACCTGGGGGGGCCTCCAGAGCACTGCTGCTCTGTGGGGCCCCCGGGGTCCGCCCCCATCGGCTGCTGCTCGGGCCGTCCCCAGGGCAGCCCACCAGCCGTGGCTCCAGCCGCCCCCGGGGTCAGCGACGCTGGCTGCTGCAGAAGTCATGGAGGTCATGGAAAGTCACGGAATCTGTGATTTCTGCAACCTCCAAGACAGACACACAGCCCTAGTAATAACCAGCCTCCAAGAGCTAACGGGGCGAAGAAATAACAGCTGCCAGATAATGGGTATTAACCAGAAATACAACAATGGCTAATATTTTATTAATTACTGTTCCGTATTACTGTTCAGATTCACTGCCTCCAAACCTTGGCCTAGGGGGAGGTCTCTGGGAGTTTCTAACTGTCAATAACAGCCCCAAAGCCTTGAGACTGCCCCGCCCCCAATCCTCACACCACCAGGACTCCTGGGTCCTCCCCAGCGGGGACATGGCTGAGAGGTCCGTGTCACAAGAGCTGTGTGTATCCCCTGCCCCACCCACCTCCAAATAATCTGCCTCCGTCCTCTTAAATCTGCGGGAAATGTTAAAAATCTAGAAAGATAATCAGAAGAAAAGGTGAGCGCCCCCTGCCGAGCCCCCCCACTGCGCGTACACAATGTGATCTCCTTAGCGTCCGCCCACTCCCTGCTCCCCAGCACCCCCTGCTAAGCCCCCGCCCACTCCCTGCTCCCCAGCACCCCCTACTGAGCCGTCTGCCCACTCCCTGCTCCCCAGCACCCCCTACTGAGCCCCCGCCCACTCCCTGCTCCCCAACACCCCCTACTGAGCCCCCGCCCACTCCCTGCTCCCCAGCACCCCCTACTGAGCCGTCTGCCCACTCCCTGCTCCCCAGGACCCCCTACTGAGCCCCCGCCCACTCCCTGCTCCCCAACACCCCCTACTGAGCCGTCTGCCCACTCCCTGCTCCCCAGCACCCCCTACTGAGCCCCCGCCCACTCCCTGCTCCCCAGCTCCCCCTGCTGAGCCTTGTGCCAACTCCCCACAGCATGGTGCCCCCACCCAGTAGGAGCTGAGCATTATGCTGAACACAGAGAGCTTGATGCTGGTCTCCATGCGGCGCTGCAGGTCCAGGGAGCCCTCGGTATCCACCAGGAACACGGCCACCTGCAGGGACAGACACAGGGACAGATCCACCGGCCACAGCGACGGGCGTCTTGTGCTAACGCCACCCTCCCCCCTGCCCAGCCCCGGCACCTCCACTGCCCGGCTCCCTGGGGCCTGGCCTGGGCACGCTGGCTGGAGGCGGGCCCTGGGGGAGGAGCTTCAAGCTGTGAACATCCCCCACCCCCAACTCCAGCCCAGCGTGTCTGTAGGAAATCCCAGGGTTGGGGCCCTGCCCCCTTCCACTGCATTCCTCTCCCCCCTCCTCCAGCACCTCCAGTCTCCCTGCCCCCCTCCCCACAGGACTTTGCTCCACAGACTCCCCCATTCACCTTCCCCCTCCCTCTCTACTCCAGCCCCCCTGCTCCCTTAGAATCTTGCCCCACACACCACCCTCATTCCCGCCGCTATTGCCCCTGTGATACTATTGACATGAACTGTGAGCGTACAGATCTTTGTTGCAACTAGGGTCCTATGGTTGCACCAGGTCTTGTGCAAAGGAGGTCACGTGGGCTGTCTATGGAAAGGTTGTAGTTTGCTGGTTATGATTATGCTGTCTGTATGTGTGTATCCTTTTTGGAGCTGAAGTCATGAATATTGGCTATGTACTGGTATTTCAATGTGTTTTATTCTAAGTTGCCTCCGGGAAGCATTTGGTCAGCTTCTTGAGAAAGGACTATTCTAAAAAAGTGCCCAATCAAGGAACACTTAACTGACAATGGACTTTGGGAGACACCAATCCACATCTGAGCTTTCCTTGGGAACGTTCAAACTAACATGTAAACACTGGTGTCAGCCTGCAGAAAGCTGAATCATTCATAGACATCTGACTTGCCCAGGTGGCTACAAACCCCATCTTGTTCCTGTGACTATGCACAGAAGAACAAAGGGGTTTCCGCCCACGAGAGAGAGAATATAAAAGGCCCTGGAAGCCTCTCCATTTTCTCTTCAGCTGGCTCAAGACATGTCCTCCCCAACTCAAAGAGATGCCTGAGAGAAACTGGAACAAAGGACAGTAACTACAGGGGTGTGAGTGATTGCTGGACCCAGACTAGGAAGGAGCCTAATCTGTGAAAGAAGCTTATTAGAACATGTCTGAGGGTGAGATTTACCTGCATTCAGTTTCCTACTGTATTAGGTTAGACTTGAGTGGTTTTGTTTTAATTTGCTTGGTAACTTACTTTGTTCTGTCTGTTATTACTTGGAACCACTTAAATCCTACTTTTTATATTTAATAAAATCACCTTTGCTTATTAATTAACCCAGAGGAAGTAATTAGTACCTGGGGGAGCAAACAGCTGTGCATCTCTCTCTCTCAGTGTTATAGAGGGTGGACAATTTATGAGTTTACCCTGTATAAGCTTTATACAGAGTAAAACAGATTTATTTGGTGTTTGGATCCCATTGGTAGCTTGGTGTCTGGGTGCTGGAGACAAGAGTACTTCCTGAGCTCTTTTCAGTTAAGTCTGCAGCTTTGGGGGCATGGTTCAGACCCCGGGTCTGTGTTGGAGCAGACTGGAGTGTCTGGCTCAACAAGGCAGGGTTCTGAAGTACCCAGCTGGAAGGGAAAACCGGCTCAGAGGTAGTTTGAGCACATCAGGTGGGAGTCCCAAGGGGGTCTCTGTGACCTAGTCCATCACAGCCCCATCCCCCATTCCCCTGCCTGGCTCCCTGCCCCACTCACCCTCCTTCCCGGGGCCTGGACCCAGAGGGGCTGGTCCCACATCCACACCCCCTTCGTCACGTTCGCCATCCCATTGTCACACTCAAACTGCCTCAGAACCTGGTCCTCTCGGTCCATCCATGACGCACCCGCAGCCTCCTGTAGGGGGTGACCAGTGGAAGGTCAGAAGGGAACGGGGTTTGGGTCTGGGATTTTGAGGGGGCAGGAGATGTGACACTGGGGGAGGGGGTGGGCTCCTGGAAGTCAGGGGGAGGGGCCATGGCTGGAGGGTGGGGCCCGTGCTGCAGGGGGAGGGGCCATGGCTGGAGGGTGGGGCCTCAGTTGCTCTGCCCTGGGCCTGGTACAGGGGGAAGATCCTAGCTGGGGAGAGGGGACCTTTGCTGTAGAGGGCAAGGCCTGCGGTGGAGGGGGACGGGGCCCTTGATGGGGTGGGTGGGGTCTGTGATGCAAGGGACAGGGCCCATCCTGGGGTGGGCTGGGTCTGTGGTTCAGGGGGCGGGGCCATAGCTGGGGATCCCGTCCCCCCTCACCAGGTTGTGGAGCCGGCGCAGCAGGCAGTTCAGCAGGAAGGATTTTCCCTGGCGCTGCTCCCCGGTGATGGACACCAGGCAGACGGGGGAGTTTCCCACCTCACCCTGCTCCAGGCAGCGGCTCAGGGCCTCCTCGTCCAGGGTCAAGTTCCCTCCCTCGTCCAGACGCACCAGCTGCACCGGGCGGCCCGGCTCTGGCTGAGCCCCCGGCCCCCACTGCAGGGAGAGAGCAGGGTCAGAGCTGGGACCCCACCCCTGAGCCAGCCAGTCCCCTGCCATGGGGCTGTATTGGTGCTGGCCTGCCCTAGAGAGGAAAGGCCCCGTGTACCATTCCCACCCCCCGATCCAGCCAGTCCCCATCCTGGGGCCAGTGGGAGCCTGTGCCCCTATATGGACAAGGCCCCTTTCTCTGATCCGGCCTGTCTGGTCTCACCAGTTCCACCTCTTTCTGCTGGGAGCCCGGCACTCGGGGCACTGGGACCCCCAGGCCGAGACCCTGCGCCAGTGAGCTGCAAAGCAGCCCCAGCGGAAGTTGTGGCTGCATTCGATGGGGAAGGGTCATCCAGGCAGATGGAACAGGTGACGTCCTCCCGGAGTCGCTCCATCCCTACCTGGAGCTCATTGAGAGGGGGGACCCAAGGGGTGAGAACTGGCACCCAGGAGCAGAAGGGCTCTGACAATGGCTGAGCTCTAGCCCAGCGTGCCAGTTCCTGGCAGCAGGAGTCTGGGGTGGGGGAGGGAGAACGTGGGAATATTTCTATGAACAAGCTGCCCGACTCAGTTTACCTGCCCACTTTGTATTCCTGTCCCCTGGGTGGCACCAGAGTGAGAAGACGGATTCCAAGAAGTCATGGCAGACATTGGTAGATTCCCAGGCCAGGAGGGAAGAAGGCCGAGCTCCTGGGTACCACAGGCCAGAGAACCACCCCCAGTTAATTCCTGTTTGAACGAGAGCAGATCTCCTAGAAACACATCCCGCCTCAACAGAGAATCCACCGTGCTCCTTGGTACATTGTTCCCATGGTCAATTCCCCTCCCTGGTAAACATGGACATCTTTGTTCCAGGCTGAATGTGTCCAGCTTTCACTTCCAGCCAATGGATTATGTTAGAGCTTTCTCTGCTAGACTGAAGAGCCCATTATTACATATTTGATCCCCATGTAGGTGCTTCTAGACTGGGATCAATTCACTGCTGGGGCTTCTCTTTGTTAAGCTAAACAGCTTGAACTCCTGGAGTCTCTCACTTCAGGCCACATTTTCTAAGCCTTTAATCATTTGCGTGGCTCTTCTCTGACCCCTCTCCTATATATTCGCATCCTTCTTCAACTGAGGGTACCAGAACTGGACCCAGGATTCCAGCAGCCATTGCACCAGGGCCAATCCAGGGGGAAAATAATCCCTTTGGTCCGACTAGCTGTTCCTCTCCTTTGGCCACAGTGTTACACAGGGGGCTCATGTCCGCTGGTTATCCCCTGTGACCTCTGACACTCTGTCAGCATCTCTGCATCCCTGGAGAGACCCCCCCCCCAGCCCGTGAGCATGGCCGACGCTCTTTGTCCATATCACAACACGTGTAGTTGGCTTGTTTCCAGTCTAGCCTAGCGATGTAGCTCTTCATGAAGCTGGGCTTTTCTCTGCTACCTATGGACTAGCAGATGCCGTGTGCCAGGGGATAGTCACTGGCTGCGTCACTCCTGGAAGGGGCACAAGCCTGTGAGAGGAGTCTGATCTCGGTCAGACTCACTGCCGAGGGCAGCTGGGCAGACAGAGGGGCTGCTGGAGCCCGAGCCTAGGAGACACTGAGCTCGGCCTCAGGAAAGGCTACACTTAGGGCATAACAAGGAACTAGTTTCCTTCCTCTCAGCAAGTGAGCTGGGTGCTGATTGTCCGAGCTTTCCTCCTGCTGGGGTGGGTCAGCTGGATTTGCCTGGGTCAGACAGAGTGGGGCCGAGCTAAGGAGAAAGCAGGGGCCCGAGCTGAGCTGGGGAGCAGAGCTGGGCCAGATCCAGAGGGACCAGAAAAGCAGCCCAGAGAGAGCAGCCCCTGTCCTGGGAGCAGAACTGCAGCAACCAGAGCCAGAGGGGCCAGAGAAGCAGCCCAGGGAGCTGGAGGCAGCAGCAGCAGCCGTGCAGAGACCGAGTGGTGGAGCTGGGGCTGGAGCAGTCTAGAGCTGGGTGCGACGAGCAGCTGGGGAGAGCGAGGGGGACCCTGGGCAGTGAGCCCAGCACAGGGAGACGCCTCAGCCAAGAGGCTCTGCAGGCCAGGCTTGGATTGTAACCCCGACAGGGCGGGGGCAACACTGGGCAGAAGGGTCCTGCCACCTAGAGCCTGAGAGCGTGTGGCCACCACCAGAGCGAGTGTCCAGCCCACAGCCTCCCTGCAGCAGGGCCAGGGCCGGAGAAGAAGGCCTGGGACTTACAAGGAGCAGACTGTGAACCGCCCTGACGTTCCAGAGACGCTGTTTGTGAAGTTCCCTGCCACAGGGCGGCGTGATGTGTTTCCTTTAACCTTTCCCATTTCCCCTTATTCTTTTTAAAATTAATTGTTGATGAAATAACTTGCATTTGCTTTAACTTGTATGTAATGGTCAGTGGGTCAGAGAAGTGCCCAGTGCAGAGGGAGTATCCCGGAGTGGGGACACCCTAGCCCCTATCCTAGGTGACCGCAGCAGGGTTGGGGGTCGAGCCCCCCAGGAATGCTGGGCCCAGCCTTGTTGGGGTTACGAGGACTCTGCCAGACAGGAGAGTGGAAGGGGAGTCCTCAAGGGCAGGGAGGCCACTGGGTAAAGGAAGTGGGAGCGAGGACTCTGATCCTTTCGCTAGCCCACTTCACCGGGGTAGTGCAGAAGCCAGGAAAGTTCCCCACAAGAGTGGGACTATTCCCCCGCTTACAACTGGTCAGAGTTTGACAGTGTTTGGAATCACGTCGTGAGCCAGGTCCAGCGTTGGGGGTAGATTAGCCACTGTCTCTGCCTGTCTCTCTGCTGGGCAGATGGCAGGGTCCGAACACATGGCAGGGACCCCATGCCCAGCCACCTGCTGGGAATTTCCACCCCCCAGAGAGCTGGGGGCCATCATGTGACTGGGCTATGCCCTTGCACAGCTTAGGGAGGGTGAAACACGGGGAACGAATGGGAAGAGAGGCTGTTACCGCCCTCCCCCTGGGGGGAATAGACTGGAGGGGACAGTCCTGCCCCCTCGGGGAGGAATAGGCTGTGGGGGGGATGATTCTGCCCCTGGGAAAGGGATGGGCTCAGTGCTTAATTTGTAACAAAAGAGGTGCCGGGGCTCAAGGAATTTTTTTACACTCATCACTGATGCGGGAATCCCAGAGGTGCCAGGGCTTAGCCCTTGCACAAATTAAGCACTGGATGGGGTAGATTGGGGCAAACTCCCTCCACATGTGCCTTCCCCCCACCCCCTGCTCTTATCCCAAATCTTCTCTTCTCTCTGTGCAGGCAAAATGTTGTCTGAGAAACAAAAGTGAAACTCCCCATGTCTCTTATGTGCTTGGCTGGTGGGAGGGGGGCCTGAGTATGTTGGAGGGGAGTGGCCCTCCTCTCACATTGCTCCTGCCACAGTTTGGGAGGGCAGTGGGGCTGGGGGGGGACACAAAGAGACAGAGGGGTGGGCCCAGGCTGGAAAAGCAAGTGGCAGAGACCGGAGGGTGCAGAAAGAGAGAGATGGGGAGGGAGAGTTGGAGTGTGTTAGGAGGGCGAGAAAGAGGGGGAAAAGAGAGACCAACTCTGGTGGGACTCTGCAAAGGGGTGTATTAGGCAGCCTGGGGAACTCAGAGAGGTCCCCATGAGGTGAAGAGACCCCCTATAAATGGCCAGGGCTCCCCATGTCTTCAGC